TCTGAAAATGTAAAACTGAAAAAAATGTTGAATAAAGACTAGACTATCTGATTCTGAATTAATAAATTTGTCCTATATTATATATGCATTTGCTTATGCAAAGATATATTTTAATTATTTGCTATATCAAATGAGAACTCCCAGAGTTTAAGAAAAGCAAACTCGGTTGACTAGGTTTACTATCTATTAAAATATATGTGTGTGTATGTGTGTGTGTGTACATATGTCACATAGTTCTTTTTTTAAAATATTTATTTATGCATACATTGCTGTGGTACAGACCAGAAATGTGGGAAATGAGAGGATTCACCAGAGACAGAGTGGGGAGTAGAACAGGTGGATCTACTGAAATACACTGCTGAGAGGAGCAGTGGACAAGATAGGAGAGGTCTGCTGCGCCATGTGGGTCAGCTCCCTGGCCAGGGATTGAGGCCAGGAAGAACAGCTTCAAGCTTGTAGAATTTCTAAATATTAGAGATCCTAGAGTACTATCTCCTATCTCCTTGTTAAATTTAATTTGAAATAAGTCACATAGGTAACTATGTGCTGTTCTTCCTGTTGCAATGTAACTGGTCTTTTGACTCTGACTACTAGAATCCTGATTTCTGTATTCAGGTGGAGCTCACCCACATCAGTCCTGTGGTTCAATAGATTTGTGCCCTGCAGTTTGCTTGGCCACTAGGAAGGGAGGTGGGGTGGGTAAGTGAGGTATTGTGTCTGCCTTCATATTGCTCACAGAACAGATATTTAGCAGTGATCATAACTGGAGAGTTTCTTTAAATAGAGATTTTACGAGTACAAAAAAAAAGATAAATGTATACAGTTATTATGTCATCAATAAAATATAGTTAGAATTAACAAACTATGTAATATAGAGTGAAGATATGAGTCAAATATTCTGTTAAAGGATTTATGCACATTTTCTCATATATCCTTCATAATATATTCGAAGTACTCCTGTTATTAACATTGACTAGTTTGGAACATGGAGAGGTACATTGTCACTCTTTAGGTGATGACCTATTACAAAATTCTTTCTCTCCAATGAGATGCTAAAATTCTTGACGTCTATTCTATTCTGCTTTGGATAGTTTTTCTTTCCTTCACAACTTCTGCCCGGAACTGATTTTGTCCCATGCTAGTCTGCATTACTCATAGAACTGTCTTTCTTTGCTACTTGCAGAAAATGCTTACACTTTTGCCTTGCAACTGCTCACTCTGCTGGTTTTAACTATCTTTAAAGCAGCTTGCTCCAATCCTCTTTGCCAAATGCTACTTTTCCAGGTATTCAGCACCCCCTCCCTCTTTTTTTTATGGCCCTGCATCTTTCCCTCTGCTTCCTGCCTTTGTGTGCAGCTTCAAACTGAGAGATGAGTACATGGATCTGGGCAGGACCCAAGACTGAGACTTAGACTGAGACATATGAGTATTCAAATGGCCACTTTATTTTATTTTATTTTTTAAATAAACATTTGTGCTTTATTTTAATTTATACAAGCACTGGGTACAGTCATAAGCGCGGGAGGGTGAGAGAATTCACCAGAGCCAGAGGGGAGCAGAGCAGGCAGAAGGACCAAAGTACACTGCTGAGGGGAGCAGCGGGCGGCAGGAGAGGTCTGCGCGCCATGTGGAACCCTCTTCCTGTGGCCGGGGCAGCCGGGGATCGAACTGGCGCTGCAGAGGCTGCGGGCAGCTTCGCAACCCAGCGCTCAACCGCTGCGCCACCGGGGAGGTCAAATGGCCACTTTAGACATTCATTTCCTCCACTGCACCCCCTCCTAAGAAGGATGGCTACTCATCAGTGTATTTCTAAACCTTGATATCCTGCCTCTTTTGAATGTAAAGACAATACATATTCGTTAACTGTTGAGTGAATTGCAGTAAATATACTTAAGTAAACCTATGTTTACTTTGGATATTCATTCCTTTCTTTTCATAACATCCCAAACTTCATTTTGGGAAACTATCTTTCTCCACTGTGGATGGAGATTTTAAACCAATAATCTACAAATGGTAGGACTCAAGTCAGGAAAGTGGCTTTCTCTGTTTTTCTGTCTCTCTTTGTATTTTACACTGTGTTTGTCTCTCTCTCACCAGCTCTGTGTCTGTCTCCTTCCCTGTCTTTCTGTGTTTGTCTCCATCTGTTTATCTCTGTCCTTGTGTCTCTGCCTGCATTTGTGTATATGTGTCACTGTGTGTTTCTCAGTGTTTGTCTCTGCATGTGTGAGTTTCTCTCTCTCACTTTTCCTTGTGTTCTATCTCTCTCAAGATCTCTTGGCTCCCTTAAGATCTGAGTCTGGAAAAAGGGATGAAGGTGGGGTATGAAAGGTTGGCATTCCTCCATCCCAGTGACTTCTATGCACATCTGTTTCAATTAAGTATTGCAGTTCTCGTTTCCTGAATCTGATTATTTCTTTTTTTTCGGATTTGAAAACCACATTATTGAGATATAATTGACACACAATAAATTGCACATGTATATATTGTGTATAATTTTAAACTTTGGACATATGTATACACTCCATGAAGCCATCATCACAATTAATATAATAAATATATTACATCTCCCAAACCTTTCCATTTCAGCCCTTTTTAATCCCTCTGTTTCCTCTCTCCCAATACATACTTTATATGTGGAATCATAAACTGGGTGCTCTTTTTTTGAAGGGGGGTAATCTGGATTATTCATCATAATTACTTTGAGATTCATCCATGTTGTAGCATTTTTTTTAAAGATTTCTTTAGGCATATAAGAACTGGGGTACAGGCCAGAGGTGCAGGGGCTGGTGTGAGAGCATTCACCAGAGACAGATTGGGGAGCAGAACAGGCCAGGTCTACTGAAATACACTGCTGAGGGGAGCAGCAGGGGGAGGCAGGAGAGGTCTGCTGCATCATATGGGTAGCTCCCTGGGCTGCAGGGATTGAATTTGTGCTGCAGTGGCTGGTGATAGCTTGATAGTGCTATGTCTTTAACCCCTGCACCACCAGGGAGACCCAAGTTGTAGCATATTTTATTTTTTTTTTTAAAGGTTTAATGTGCTTTTTTCTTTTTTTAATATTTATTTATTTATACAAGCACTGGGGGTACAGTCAGAAGCGCAGGAGGGTAAGAGAATTCACCAGAGCCAGAGCGGGGAGCAGAGCAGGCAGAAGGCCTGAAGTACACTGCTGAGGGGAGCAGCGGGCAGCAGGAGAGGTCTGTGCGCCATGTGGGACCCTCCTGCGGTGGCCTGGGAGCAGCCAGGGATCGAATTGGCGCTGCAGAGGCTGCGGGCAGCTTCGTAACCCAGCGCTCAACAGCTGTGCTACCCAGTGCTCAACAGCTGCGCCACCGGGGAGGCCCAAGTTGTAGCATATTTTAAATAGATTTCTTTTTCACTATTGTTTCTGGAATGTTTTCCATTCCTAACCATTTATCTGTTGATGGATTATTTTAGTTGTTTTCAGATTTTGGTTGTTAGAAATAAAGCAGGTATGAACATTTTTATAAAACTGTGAACAAATAACTTATTTTTTTTTTTTCTCTTTGCTAAATACCCAGTATTGAAATGACTAGGTCATAAGGTATATGTGTTTTTAACTGTTTAAGAAGTTGCCAAGGTGGGCCTCCCCGGTGGCGCAGCGGTTGAGTGCTGGGCTGCAAGGCTGCCCGCAGCCTCTACAGCGCGGGTTAGATCGCTGGGCGAGGGTCCCACATGGCGCGCAGACCTCTACTGCAGCCCGCTGCTCCCACCATCGTCAGTCTGCCTGTTCTGCTCCCGCTCTGTCTCTGGTGAATTCTCTCACCCTCCTGAGCTTCTGACTGTACCCAGTGCTTGTATAAATAAATAAATAAAATCTTAAAAAAAAAAAAAGTTGCCAAAGTACTTTCCAAAAAAAGTTTTTACATTTCAGTTTTCATTTTGAGTTTACTTTTTTATATAAGTGCAAGATAAATACTGATTTTTTTTTAGCATATGCATTTCCAATTTTTAGGTACTATTTTTGTAAAATATTTTCTCCACTGAATTACTTTTGTGCCTTTGTCAAAAATCAGTTGTTTATATATGTGTCTATTTCTGGACTGTTCTGTTGATTTATTTGTTCGATTTTATGCTAATACCACAATTCTCTTAATTAGTGCAGCTATATACCATCTTGAAAATGAATGGCTTTAGTTCTACAACTTTGTTCCTCCTATTATTTTTATTTTTTTTTTTTCAATTTTTGTGTAGAAGAATTGAGGTATAGGCCAGGGGGAGGGAGGTGAGAGGATTCACCAGAGAGAGTGAAGAGCAGAACAGGCAGATTACTGAAACACACTGTTGAGGGGAGCAGAGGGTGAGACAGGAGAGGTCTGCTGTGCCATGTGGATCAGCTTCCTACCTGGGGATCAACTCAGACTGTAGTGGTGATAGTGCTGAGCCTTAACACTTAGGCCACCAGGGAGGCCCATGATCTACCTTTTAAAAGCCATTTTGATTAATCTAAGTCCTTTGTATTTCCATTTAAAGTGTACAACCAACTTGTGAACTTCTGCCCAAAGCCTACTAGGATGTTATTTTTGATTGCATTGAATATAAATTAATTTTAGAAAAACAAACTTTTAATATTGGCACTTGTGATACGTACTCATGATTTCTCTATTGTTTAATGTTCTGTTAAATTATTATGAAAGTTTTTACATCATTTGTCAGGCCTAGCACTAGATATTTCATAATTTATGCTACAATTAATGGTTTTTATTCAATTTTACTTTCCAATTGTTTGTTGCTAGTATATATATACTAGTATATATATATATATGCTAGTATATATATATACTAGCACAAACAATTGGAAAGTAAAATTGAATAAAACCATTAATTGTAGCATAAATTATATATCTAGTGCTAGGCCTGACAAATGATGTAAAAACTTTCATAATATAATAAATAAATAAATATAATTGGGTTTGTATAATTAGCTTATATCCTGCAGTTTTGCTAAACTCACTTATTAATTTTATGATTTATTATAGATTTCATTGGATAGTCTTCACAGAGGATGCTACCATTTATGAGTAAGTCAGTTTTACTTTTTTCTTATAATCTTGTCTCCCTGCTCTATATTAGTGTGCTAGATACAACCTTCAGTACAATATAGGTCATAAAAATCACCATACTTGTTTTTCTTTTCTGATCTTATGCTACAAGGTATTTAGTGTTTTACCACTAACTCTAATCTTAACTGTTGGTTTTCTACAGATTCCCTCAATTAGGCTGAATAAATTCGTTTTTATTTCTAGATGCCTTACAGTTTTTCTCAGAATCAGATGTCAGTTTTCTTCAAATACATCTAGTAAGATGTTTATTTTGTTCTTTTAGTTTGTTAATATAATAAATTGCATTAACTTACATTTTCAATGTTTATTCCTCCAACATTGCTGAGATTAAACCCAGAGTGCCATATACCACCTTCTCTTTATATGTTGTTGCATTTAATTTGATAAAAATTTCTTTATAGATTTTTGTATTACTTTCATGAGTGATAGTGTTCTGTAGGTTTTTTACATAACTGATTTGTTGATTTTGATTTCAGAATAATGGTAATCCCAAATGAATTGAGATTTCTCTCTCTCAAATAATTTGGAAGAATTTATATAAAAGTAATGTTTGCTGTACACCTTTTTTTTTATTTTTAAAGATTTATTTATTTATACATACAAGAGCTGGGGTACAGACCAGAGGTGTGTGTGTGGGGGTGGGGGGTGAGAGGATTCGGCAGAGAAAGAACGGGGAACAACAGGCAGACTGACTGAAATACACTGCGGAGGGGAGCTCCGGGCGAGTCAGGAAAGGTCTGCTGCGCCATATGGGTTGCTCCCTGGCTGGCTGGGGATCGAACTCATGCTGCTGAGGTTGTGGATAGCTTCATAGGTTGTGTCTTAACCCCTTGTGCCACCAGGGAGGCCCTGCTGTACACCTTTAGAGGAATTTCCCAGTGAAGTCATCTTGGCCTGGGCAGGGGAGGCAGAGGCGGGGGATTGAACTCATGCCACAGTGGAGGGCAGTAGCTTGATAACACTGAGACTTTAACCCCTGTGCCACCAGGAGGCCCTCTCCTGAATATTGTTTTGAGAGCATTCTATGAATTTAGATAATGTATATTTGGATATAATAATAGCATAGTTTTGAGTCAGATATTTTGTAGTTTTTGATTTTCTTATGACCATAAGTTATTTAATGCTCTATCATTTTAAATGTTTTGAGTTTTTTCTTGCTTTCCTTGACCTCTTATTTTATTGAAATGAGAGAGCATATTTTGTATGACACAAATCCTCAAAAATGTATTGAAAATTATGTAGAAAATTGTCTATTTTGATAAATGTTCTGTGTTCACTTGGAAAAAAATATGCATTTTGTTGGCATTAGGTAGAATATTATCTAAATGTTAGTTAGGTCTAGTTGGTTCATAGTGGTATTCAAATCTTTTCTATTTATACTAATTTTCTAAACAAATGTTCTATTGGTTATTGATTAAGGACATTTAGCTATTTGACTATAATAAAGGATTTACCTATTATCTCTTCAATTTTATAAGTATTTGCATCATATTTCTTGAAGTTTTGTTTTTAATGCTTTGATGTTTAGATTTGTTAATTCTTAATGTATTGACCCATTTATAAGTATAAAATGATACCTTTCATGTTGACTTTTAAATGTACTTTGATACTCTAGTTCTCTTCTTATAAATGTTAACATAGTATTTCTTTCTCCACTATTTTACTTTTATCTTGCTTTCCTCTGATTGAAGCGTATTTGCCACAGGCTACATGTGATTGGGTCTTTGTTTTTGTTTCCCAATCAGACCATTGATACCTATTTATTGGGTGTAAAAATCAGTTATATTGTATGCAGATGTTGGTACAAACATCTGTTTTTATGTGTTTTTTGGTGTGTTTTTATGTGTTTTTCAACTTTCCCATAGGATTTGGAGGAAAATCATAGCTTTTAAGAAATGCCCATATGAAACATACTCAATACAAATTTTGAACCAAAAATTTCTGACCTGAGATAGTTATATTTTCCCTTGTAATTTCTCTTCCTAGGTCATATTTCCTCCCATGATTTCTGTATAGGAATCTGTATTTTAAACTATGGTATTAATTTTGTTTTGTTTGTTTTTTATTAAATTAAGTCTATATTGAATCCTGGTGGTAGATAACATTAACAATGTTAGTTTAACAAAAAGGTCTTCATTTGTACAAATGGAATTTTTATCATTCCATGTTTGCTGACAACCTTTTTTAGCTACTTTAATGGCCATTTTAGGGTTTATAATGTAGATTTTTTAAATTGCCATTCTTGATGTTCTTCACTCCTTTTTGTGGGTTGGTATTTCATTCTGTATCATTTTCTTTTTTCAGGTGAACATGTTTTAACATTTCTTATAGTATGTGTGTGTTGGTGATAATTTTTTTTTATGTCTCAAAACATCTTTTATTTTTTTTTTAAACATTTATTTATTTATACAAGCACTGGGTACAGTCAGAAGCATCTTTTATTTTTGAGAGATTAATTGCTAGGCATAGAATTTTAGGTTGACAGTTTTGCTTTCAATACTATAGACATGTTACTTTACTGTCTTTTCATTGGTCTTCTATTCCCATGTATAATTTTGTTCATCTTTTCAGTTGCATTTAAGCTTTCTTTTGCTTTTGAGCAATTTGTTCATGATGTATCATATTGAAATCTTCATTTCTTCATTTTTTTTTGTACAGATTTATTTATACAAAAGTGGGATACAGGCCAGAGTGCAGGAGGGTGAGAGAATTCACCAGAGACAGAGAGGGGAGCAGAACAGGCAGACAGAGTGAAAACACTGCTGAAGGGAGCAGCGGGCGAGACAGGAGAGATCTGCCATGCCATGTGGGTATCTCTCTGGCCGGTCGGGAATCGAACCATGCTGCAGAGGCTGCAGACAGCTTCGCAGCACTGCGCTCAACCCACTGTGCTACTGGGGAGGTCCTGAAGTCTTCATTTCTTCATTCTTACCTTCCTTCCTCATTTGAAAATATTCATTGAGCTTCTTGGATCGATAGGTTATTACTTTATCACATTTGGAGAATATTTCACCAATTCTGTTCTAAGTATATGTTCTCCTATATCCTCCTTTAGGAATTCCAAATAAATATGTATACCTCTGATCAAAGTGTCACAGATCTCTAGTGTTCTATGCATGCTTGGTATTATTCTTTCTGGTTTTCATTTTGAATTGTTTATATCTTCAAGTTCACTACTTTTTTCTCTTGTAATATAAACATGTCATTTATCCCATAGTTATGGTTTTCCAGCTCATAAATTGTAGTTTTCATCTAGAAGTAAAATTTAGGCTGGATTTTGTATTTTTAACATTTTTATACCTCAATTCAGCTTTCAAGCATTTGGAATTCACTTATAATAGTTTTAACATGTCCTTGTCTGTTAAATTACCATCTGTGTCAATTTAGGGTTGGTTTCAATTAATTGGTTTATTACCTTATGAGTTGTATATTCCTAATTCTTTACATGTCTGGTAATTTTTGTATTAGATAACATACATTGTGAATTTTAACTTGATGGGAGCTACAAGATTTTTTGTTTGTTTTTGTATTCCCATGAATATTCTCGTTTGAGTCTTCTGGATCTTTTAAAATTTATTAAGCAAAACAAAGACAGTGTTCAACCTAGGAATTGATCATTCTCCACTATTGAGAACTCACCTCAGAATTGTATTTTCAGAACTCTACCCAGTGAACTCTATGAAATAACGTCTCCTTGAATAAAACAAAATATATTTAACATTGAATATAGAGCTTAATGAACAGCAAGAGAAATCAGGTGACTAAGCATTCAAGTCTGACATAATATCAATTTACCACTGATACAATAGAAAAATCATTTTATCAGTGGAGTCAAAGTGTAAAAATGCTAAAGCTTTTTAAAGGAGTACAATCCTGTGCTCATGAACTTTTGCATATCACAAGTGAATACCACAAATATATATTGTCTTCACCTGTCAAATTTAGAATTCTTTTTCTTTGCTGTTTTAAAAAAATCTTAAATTCTTTGTGAACATTCACTTGCATGTATCCTTCTACCAAACACTGTTCCACATCCATGTTAGTGTGTGTATACCCTTTCACATTCAGAAGTTCACACTTTTAACTATGACTGAAATAAGAGACAAATGAATTTCTTCAAATTCAGAAACAAATGCTCAAAATTTAAAAAATGTACTGCATCTTGAAACTGGTTAAAAAAAATGCATAATAACTTCAACACCCAAGAACTACTCAGCATAAGAAAATTTAGGAAGTAAATGTTTAGGCATAATTCCCATAAAATATGGAACACTCTGCATGGTTATTAGTTATGTGTCTAGCATAAGCCAATATACTTTCTTAATTTGCTTGATTAAGTCCTGGTAATTTAGCAATAATAGAACATATTCAATTGGGCAGGAAAAGAGTATTTCCCATGATCCACCAATGCTAAGCAATAAAGCTCAACTTTTTTCAAGGACAGAAAGTATATCATCAAACATAAAAACCTGGGATAAAACCCACAATATGAAAGTTATGGCCTTAATGAAATATTAAAATTGCATCAGGAATACTGTTCTGGCATTAAAAATAAACAATAACATTTCTTTCTAGTTATGGTTCACTTCAATTCGTTAAAAATTAATTATTACCTCTTTAAATATTTGATAAAATTAGATTTTAGTAGGCTATCAATACCCACAAAACACATGCTATCATGTGTAAATTCCTATATCTCAATTTCTGATATATTTTTGTCATGTTATTTAATTTTGTGATGGTGTCTGTCTATGATTGTTTTTTGGTTTTTCTTGTTTGCTTTTTACCTTGATAATTTTAGAGAATGGACATGCAACTAAAACTTTCTCTAATTTAATATAAATATACTGTATTGTTAGCTCCATAAAAAGTAAAACATGTGACAATAATACTTGGTAATTCCCATTATGTATTATCTGACTTTCTCACACAGTCAATTGCAATTGCACTTATAAGTC